GAGATTACCTAGAGCAGCAGTCGCCAACTGGTGGTCCGCAACAACTTTATTTGTTTATTGTATATAACTATTTTCTTTAACTGTTATATTAATGGCATGAAATAGTTTGACTTTAGTAACTATCATTTCTTACTTGGTGGATCGCAGGATTCATATTAGTGGTCCGCGGGATTTAAAATTATGAATTGGGTGATTCGTGAGCTCCGAAAGATTGGCGACCGCTGACTAGAGGTTACCTTGAAGTGGTTCTGAGGATCAATGTCCTTGTGGCCTGGTCTCTGATTAGAAGGCCTCCTGGTTGGTAGGTGTTGTCAACTAGGCTATTGGACATCACTGCTTGTATAAATTATAAACTGGTTGATTAGATATCCTTTGGAAATGTTTATCGTTCTTTTTTAACACTGGGACAGGTCGGGTTATCTTTTGTTACCACATCGCTCTATAAAGTGTTTCGAATACAGGAAGGGCACGGTAATAATCTAGAGAAAGCAATAAGCCAATCTGACTATATTGCACTTGGAAGAGATATGAGGACGGAGTGAAAGAACGGTGTGAACCCTGCAGGTCCCTTCGGACCTGCAGGGATTTAAAGCTGACCCTGCACGAAACAAGATCAACTGAATGAACCAAGCCATTATGGTTGTTCTGTTATACTAGTATTAAGAAGGTGATATCCAAGATCTGGATACAAGGGTCAGTTGAATGCCAGAAATTTTCAGAAATATTTAATCAGAGACGCTATACACAATTGGACAAAAGTATGGGGTTAGTTAAAGGTGATCACAAACTAAGACTTGGAATATAATTCTGAGTTTTCCACCTGGTGAGATTGTTGAGGAAGAGGACTATGATTTTGAGGGCATTGACAATACCACTTTTAAAGTATTATGGATGATGGCAAGGAATATTTACAACTTTCTGATGTAAGTGGTTAGATGATGATGCTGGCAACCCATGTTATGGTAAATTAACAGATAAGATTACCCACTGCTACTGGAAATAATAATGATGTTGATACACAGAGAAATCACATTATCGTGATACATCAATGAGAAAATCCACAGGAGCTGTGATGAGGATTTGAACCTATGTTCGATTTGCAGATGATGAGTCACAATAACATGGCTGAAAAATGTTGACCAAACCACACACTAGAAAGTCAAGAGACGACAACGTTTCGGTCCATCCTGGACCATTATCAAGTCGATTGTGACTTTATTTTCTCTTTGGTCTCTCTGGATTTTCTCAATGATATATCACAATAATGTGATTTCTCTGTGTACTGAAAGAGGGGCATTAGAGAAAGAATTACTGGACGACAGAGCCAGAGTGCATGGAGGAATTGTGGGAAACCCTGGTTGGGCTTCAGTGGAAGCCTCGATAATCCTCAAGGGTGCAGTAGTAAACACGGTTGCAATTCTTTTGACCATGTCGTGGCGTAGCTGTTTACAGCGTGCATCTAGCAACAACCAGCGCATAGCTTTAAATCATCTTCCTGGCTCCTGTGGATTTTCTCACTGATGATGTTGAGGAGCAGAAAAAAGGAAGAAGGGGTAGAGGAGGAAGAAGAAAGAGGGGGCAGAAGAGGAAGGAGGCAGAGGGGGTGGAGGAGGGGGTGGAAGGAAGAGGAGGAGAAGGAAGGAGGAGGGTGGTTGAAGGAGAGAGGAAGAACAGGAAGGAAGGAGGAAGGGAGTGGAAGAGGGTGGAAGGAGGAGAGGATAAGAGGTGATTCTTAAGGATAAGGATAAAATCAGGTGATTCGATGAAATATCTATGCCCGAGTCGACCAATGTGCGCTGTCAGATCTTGGATATAAATAGTCTCACGACTACCAAGATTCTTGTACAGTCGTATGGTCTAGTGGTTAAGGTATCAGGTACGCCAAGGTGCATAGCGCTCCCGGCTATCTGGGTTCAAATCCCTCTGGGGTGTGGAGTTTTCGGTTGAATATTATATTATATATATATATATATATATATATATATATATATATATATATATATATATATATATATATATATATATATATATATATATATATATATATATATATATATATATATATATATATATTTATTTATTCATTTATTTTCAATCACACAATCGACTTGAGAATGGTCCAGGACAGACCGAAACGTCATCGTCCCTTCACCATCTAGTGTGTGGTGTGGTCTAGTCAACATACTTTAGCCACATTATTGTGACTCATCGCCTGCATGCATACATACATACATACATACATACATACATACATACATACATACATACATACATATATATATATATACACATATATATACATATATATATATATATATATATATATATATATATATATATATATATATATATATATATATATATATATATAAATAAAATTATACACTTTTGAAGTAACAAAGTCTGGGCTCTTTGAAGAAACTTGTTGGTAAATGATGACTTTCTCTTCCTACACTTGCAATGGATTTTCTAATTAGTACACAAAAGTACCACAAAAGAAAAAAAAATTGTACAATAAGGAATATTATACTAATGTTAACATTAATTAAAAAGGAGCGAACATTCTCCTAATACTCTCAGGTCTTATCAGGGCTTCTACTTGGGCGAGTGAAAAGGCAGGAAGTTAATGGACTAACAAATCGAAGGCTGGTCTAGAATCTCGTGTGATAATGGCCTGTACAAGGAGACGTGTGCAGAGAACAACTAGGGCACACGGCGACAGATCTTCACACAAAAATGAAGGGTGTGGCAACACACTCCGGTTGTGAGGAACGGCTCATTGTCAACTAACAAAATCTAAACATTAAACAAAACACAGCATAATACTGAATATTCTCTTATAATTGCAAATCAAGATTCAGTGTGAATTTGTATTAAAATTGTTATAATCACTATTAATAAGGTATATATATACACTATACATAGGTATGAATGTGTGCATGTATATATGTCGAGCCTAATGGTCAGAGCAATTTTGCATAATTTCAAACACAGTACTGTATTTTTCAAAATTAGTTCACTCGTAATAATATTACAATATTATATTAGCAACATAAATTACTTTGATAGGCTTAGTTTTACCCATGTGAGGCAGTAATGAGAAATAATTAACATACTATATTTAGATTAGGTCAAGTTTCTATGTAAGGGTTGTCTCAAACTAAACAAAATCTATTCATGTAGATTAAAATTTATTATTTGAAAAAATTTGGCTTGTTGGGCAACTCTGACTATTGTGTGCAATACACATATACAGTATATGTTATATACTCACCTAATTGTGCTTGCGGGGGTTGAGCTCTGGCTCTTTGATCAAGGTGTGTGTATGTATATGTAAGAATATATGTATGTATGTATGCATCCATTTATACACACACACACATGCAGACATGAACGCATACGCACCCCCTCACCACAACACATACACAGCTGTCGAAGAAATATAAGAATATTCACTTGCAAACAAAATAGTAGACAGTTGGAACGAGATAGGTGAGGTGGTGTTGGAGACCAAAACTGTCAGTAGTTTATAGAGTTATACGACAAAGAGTGCTGGGAAGATGGGACACCACAAGCGTAGCTCTCGTCCAGTAATGACACTTGGGTAATCTCACACACACACACACACCTTCAAGCACAACTAGGTGAGTACACATGCACACACACAGTGAGATACTGTGAGGGACGAGGTCTCAAGAGTGGCGAGATGTTACCAGTGGAGTCCCACAGGGTTCAGCCCTTGGACCTATCTTGTTTCTGATATGTAAATCATCTCCTAGAGGGAATAGACTGTTCCTCTCAATGTTTGCTGATGATGTAAAAACTATGAGGAGGAGTAAGACCACGGAAGATAGCAAGAGGCTATAACATCAAGAAACTAAAGGAATAATTCAACAAATGGCTACTTAAAATCAACACAAGTTGGTAGGTAGTGAAACTAGGTGGAGGGAATAGGAGGCCAGACACAGGGTACCAAATGGGAGATGAAGTACTTCCACGAAATGGAGAGAGATAATCTAGGAATTGACATTACACCGAACCTATCTCCAGAAGCCCACATCAAAAGAATATCGGTGGCATATCCTAGGCTGGCTAACATCAGAACTGCCTTTAGAAACTTGTGTAAGGAATCATTTAGAACCTTGTATACCACATATGTAAGACTAATCCTGGAGTATGCAACTCCAATATGGAGTCCATATTTTGTCAAGCATAAGATGAAGCTGGAGAAGGTTTAAAGGTATGACACCAGACTAGTCTAAGAGGTATGAGTTACGAGGAAAGGCTGCATGAATTGCACCTCTTGTTGCTGGAAGACAGAAGAGTTTAGGAAGACATGATAACCACAAACAAAATTCTCAGGGAAATTGACAGGGGTAGAAAAGGACTTTATTTAGCACAGATGGTACTCACACAAGGAACACAGGTGGAAACTGAGTACCCAAATGAAATATTTGAAAGAACTTTTTCCTTGTCAGAGTAGTTAATAAATGGAATGTATTAGGAAGTGATGTGGTGGAGGCTGACTCCATACACATTTTCAAATGTAGATATGATAGAACTTCATAAGCTTATGAACCTGTACACCAGTAGATTGCCGGTTGAAAGGCAGGACCAAAGAGCCAGAGTTCAACCTCTGCAAGCATAACTAGGCAAATACACACACACACACACACACACACACATACATACATACATGTATGTATCGTGGAGACTGACTCCATACACAGTTTCAAGTGTAGATATGATAGAGCCCAGTAGGCTCAGGAACCTGTACACCAGATGATTGACAGCTGAAGGCAGGACCAAAGAGCCAAACCTCAACCCCCGCAAGCACAAATAGGTGAGTACATACACACAAACACACACACACACTTATGAATATGCATGATCACCTATATAGTTTATATGATTATAGAAAGCAACTCTAACCACTTAAGTACAGTTGCTATACATACACAAGCTAAGCAGACATTATGATTTACATGTAAAATAATTACCTTATGATCCCCCATAGTGGTACTCAAGCCGATGATATTGTACGCAACCTTTCCCCCACTCTGGAAATTATTAAACAGCTTAATTTGGGAATATTATTTTATTATCAATACCTGTACTAACATTTTATACAAGTACAGTATCTCATTACATAAGAACACAAAATAAAGCTGCAGAGGCCTATTATTATCCCCCATAAGAGACAGGTCATATTTATAATTCTCACACATGTCCATCCTAAGTGTGACACATGCAAGGAATTCCACATCTATTATGTTATCCAGTAATGTGTTCCAGAAATAAACTACACTATTTCAAAATCAGTATTTACTCAGGTCTTTCCTCAATTTAAACTTATCCAATTTATATCCACCGTTTTCATGTTCTCTCATGTGATGATATATATACAACACTATTAATATCCCCCTTTGTAATACACTTTCATCCATTTGGATACTTCAATCATCTCACTCCTTACTCTTTGCCTTTATTGAGAATGTAATTAAGCTTTCTTAATAATTTTTTACATGGAAAGTATCTAATTCCTGGGATTAACTTTGTCATCATTCTCTGTACTGAACTCATTTAAATGAATTTATGTCCATTACATAGTATGGCAGCCAAAATTGAAATGCATGATCTAAATGGGCCTCCAAGAAAAGCAAAACAAATAAAGATGAGAAAAACAATTAGTTGATTTATTGCTAATGCTTATAGAAATAAATCCCAGTATCCTAATTTGCCTTACAATATTCTGAACAGCATTTGCATAGATTTTTTGGTTTTAGATCTCTACTACTCATAACTCCTACCTCTTTTTCCAATTTAGACTTCAAAATGTCAACACTATCCAGCTGATATCTGATAACAGGAACCTGTATCATCCTTATTTAGCCTTAGAACCTTACACTTTTCAGCATTAAACCACATCTGCCAATCTTTCGTACATTTCAAAAGACTACCTCGGTCATCTTCAGACATATCACTTAAAAAACTGGGATTTTATTCAGGTATATTCTCTTATGACACTAACACTGAAAGGTAACAAGGTGATAAATGAAAATTTATATTGCAGAACCTTTGCCGTTTCAGCAGACAGCATAAAAACAAGCTGTAATACTGATACACTGCTATGCCAAATACAGTACATTATCTTCCCCCTTGAACCTCAATACAGACAAATAGGAAATTTTTCTTTTGTTACATTAAAAGTAATACAAACAAGCCTTACTGAATCAATGAGCTTCTTAGCTGCTTTGTCCAAGATGATTCTATCGCACCAGGATGGGCACCTGGTCTGCATGTAGTGAGACCCATCCCCATCAGCACCTTCTTCAAAAGGGTAACTTGGAGGAAAGTTGATAGGAAACTCAGCCAGCCTATTGCCGAACTGAGCCAATTCTTGATCAAACTCACGAAGCTGGAATACCAAATAGATAAGGTAACTTTCAATAACATTTGTGATAAAAATAGCCTCAAGTTGGCATATATCAGGATAAAAAGAGTAGAGGGAAAAATGATTGCAGGATGATTAATGCATACAATCATATAATTTGCACAGGCTGATGTAATGAACAGTGGTTATTTATAGCAGATGTGGTAATTGCAGTGATAGTTAGAAGTGTGGTGATGGCTGCAGTAGTGGTTGTGGTAGCAATGATAGCAACAGTGATTGCAGGAATTGGTACTATATTTTGTTATAAAGAGGTCTATGGTTGGGAAGTTACACCGTACTTGTGAACATGCTACAAATGCACTCATGGGGACTGCAATGCATATCACAATGTGGTCAGGAAATGCTGATCAATTAGCTGATTACATCATCCCAAATGAGAACACTGTACATTCTCTAGATACTCTAATTTTTTGAGAAACGATCACAGACTGACTACTTGTATGTATTGATTATAATAATAACCATTACTACTGTATTATAAAAAGACAATGAATTAATTTTGGAATATGTTAAGGGTCAAATAATGTGAATTTAACTCCAGAACCCATGCAGATTTCCCATGAGTTTTATGCTGCTCATCCAGGAGAAGGCTTGTAATCTTAACACTTTCGCGCTTTAGATTAGAGATAACTCGTCGCCGTTTTTTCTTACGATTCCGCATAACAGCCTACTTTTCTCGTCCATCGAAAAAATATTTCTATAAATTCCATTTTTTAACCGAAATGGATGGGGATACTTTTGTTTTGTAGAGAATTTATTTGCGAATTTTTTGGTACCAGAATGAATATTATATCACATAAACTTCTATGAGTAAAAAAAAAATACACAAAGTATGTTTGGGGGTGTGGCGAGCGTGTGGCAGTGGGTTCCCTTTAGCCGTTGATATATCCAACACGTGGGAAATATTTGTATGTGTTATGTATATGTCTGTGTAGGGAATTTTACTGCGATCACTGTCATACAAATTATAAAATGTTTCAACAAGTATAAACATGACAAACATCAAACGAACGAAAACAATGCGTTCGTTTCTGCCGCGAACACATACTGAGCGACGTGGTTCTATATTTGGCGCTTCTCTTACACATGCTTTGTACAAATGTTATACAGTTCATCTTATAGAAAATTTTATTGCGAACACATTGGTATAAAAAAGAAATACGTACATAGAAAAGTAGGGTCAGGAAACATATAAACTTTCCAAGCATGATTTCCCCCCTGTGTTTTCGCCAGTGCGCTCGCGGCTAACTACTCTCCACTTGACACACTCTTGCGGGTGGGCAATGACCTATATTAAACATTCATATGCATATGTCCGTGTAGAGAATTTTATTGCGATTCCAATGATACCAAAATTAGCGATGTAGGACAACTGTAGGCTTCGCAACCATTAAGAGAGTGGAAACATTTTGTTGCTGTTTGGCGCTCTCGGCGAGTGATCTGCATAGTTTTTTATTTGGTGTTGATACTCCTTATGCTTGGGCGACATTTTATAGGTATGCTCTTATAGTCAATTTCATTGCGAACACAGTGATACCAAATTTAAATACGTGCGCCTTCAATTATTGTCAGGACAGTCAAAAGAGTGTACACTTTTTCGGTCTTACCGCGTAGGCGCGCGAAGTGCCAAAAGCATCTGGGGTATTGTTTTTTTTTGAGCGCCGAGAGCGCGAAAGTGTTAACGAGGATTTAAAGAAGAAATTAAGTGCCAATGGTAGCAATGATACATTTTAAGCACATTGTGGTTGCTTCAACATATTCAAGTGTACAGCAAACTCGCTCAATAAGATCCTCATAGAATAGGAGTCGGTCAAACATTGTAAAGAGACTGTGCAGAGGTGATGGCCGAGACACCTCTGAGGCATTTAGGAAGATAGATGAAGAATTGACTATGCAGGAAGACCTTAGCCATGAGAGGGTTTGTAGAATCTCTTTGGGCTGATGACTCAACTTTGTGAAAGTAGGAAAGGGGCAGTGGTGATGATAAAATTAATATTTTAAATGCACTAATATAAAAATGTTGTAAATAAGGACATTAAAGAATAGAACAATCTATATACTGAATTAAACTCATTTCTAATCTGTATTTAACTTACCCAGCTGCCATTTTCCTTAAGGAAGATTGAATGATGGTCACAGTGCTTGAAGGACTTCTTAGAGACAACGAGTTGTACAGTGCCTTTGTTGTCCAAAAACTCTTGAGCCTTTTCACTGGAGTTCGGCAGTTCTGTGTCCACCACTGTACACCCTTGAGTCAATTTCTGGTTAGAGAAAATATGAAAGTAGTGCCAGAACATATTAAAATATTGGAGCCACTTTGACGATGATGCATCACAACCTTTCCAAACACTGAAGGGACACTACGAGTATAGATCTCATTCTGCATCCACACCAACGTAATTACACTTTTACATTCTCCCAGTATATATAAACACGGGTCATTTTTTTTAGCTACAATGCCTAATAATTAAATCAAGTTCCAGGATTACAATCACAGATATGTTTTGCACACTTCAAATCAATACAGTGAGACCCCCTTTCAAGATACCACACATGCATGATGACAACAAAAATGTTGTGGACAACCTTGCTCTACTTCAATATGCAGGTCATCTGCTGTTATCTACAAGATCCCCACATACTATCATGTACACCTTTCTTGTTAAATGTTTCTCATGCATCCTACTCGCACACCACCTCAGGGTATTACACCTCCCTCACTCTGCACTCTATTCTCTTACCCTTTTCATTCACGCCACATCTCTTACACATCATTCTTCTACCTATCTTATATATGCTATACTTCCACTAGCTGCTTTTACAATAATAATAATAATAATAATAATAATAATAATAATAATAATTAATAATAATAAACAATAGTAATAATAACTAATAATAATGAATAATAATAATAAATAATAAACATAGTAATAATAATAATAATTCATAAATAATAATAAATAATAATTAATAATAATAAATAAATACAGTAATAATAATAATTCCTTCAGGATAAAAATCCACACTTATATATTTGTGTATTTTATGTAAAAATTTACACCAAATCTTTTGCACGCCCCTGATCTTCCGAGTGCTTTCTCAAGGTTTGAGTATATGGTTAGGATGAGACTTACATCTCAACGCCAAATACATCGAGATGTAAGTCGTTGAGATTTAAGTCTCGTGCTAACCATACACAGTACTCAGACTTTGATAAAGCACTCAGGGGAGTGCGATAGACTTGGTGTAAATCTTTACATAAAATACACAATTACAGAAGTGTGGCTTTTTATCTATGTTATTATGTATGTGAGAAGATATTACCGTTAATAGTTCCTTTGTACTCTTGAGCACTCAGACCCCCCCTTCTTTATACAATTCACCTCTCCTATCACACGTCTCCTATTAAGTACTCACAATATCTTCATCTTGTAAGTACACTTAGGTAATTACTCTCTCACTCATACTCTTTCGCACACACACACATTTAATTTTCCATAGTGCAATTTTTAACACTGTCCCAAAGTATTTAAAGCTTATTATCTCTTCCAATACAGTACTCCACTTTTATCCTACACCCCATTCATTCTCTTCTCTAAAAATAACAAAGTTTATATAATAATTTTACTCACTAGAAACAAGTGCAAAATTATGATACTTAATTTGATAGTAAAAACATTATCGCTCATCAAACACATTGAAGTGATATTCCACCCAATCAATATAAGCTTCACTAACAAAATAAGCATAAGTAGGCTACCATAACAAATAATAATTTGTAACTTACCTCCACAACTGCGCGAGTATTCATTCTAAAGTTAAAGTCCCCAAATAGGAATATTGGCACTTTTTCAAATCCATCATTGTGAAATCTAGGAGAAAACAATATTGCATTTTGTAATAATTTAATATAATTTTGCCTTAAATTTTCATAATACATAAAGTATACTGTACATATGTATATGTGACAGGCTGCATGAACACGCGTGTCATTAATCACTAATATTCAGAGGTTGAAAATGGGAAACAGATTTACGGAAAATAAAAAGGAAATGTGTGAAACATTAAACGAACAGTTCCAAAGTGTGTTTGTGCAAAATTAAATCTTCAGAGAACCAGGCACAATAAGAATTCCAAAGAACAACATAAAGGCATTCCTGTATACAGAGGTCCTAGCAGATGTGTGGAAAAAGGCTAACATAGTTCCAATCTACAAAAGTGGCAGCAGGGAAGACCCCCCCCCCTCACCCTTAATTATAGACCTGTATCATTGACAAGAGTAATAATCAAAATTTGGAAAAAATAATTAAAACTAAATGGGTATAACACCCAGAGAAAAACTATATAACAGACAGAGACAGACAGTATGGTTTTCGATCTGGAAGATCCTGTGTAACGAATTTGCTCAATTTCTATGATCAAGCCACAGAGATTTTACAGAGAGACATGGTTGGGTTGATTGCATCTATCTGGACCTAAAAAAGGCTTTCAACAGTTCGACATAAGAGGTTGTTCTGGAAACTGAAACATTGGAGGTAGGAGGTAACAGGACAGGTAGGTTTCTAACATGGATGAAAAAATTTCTGACAGAAAAATGAGGGCAGTAATCAGAGGCACCTCACACACCACCTCAGGGTATTATACCTCCCCCACTCTGCACTCTATTACAGTAGAGTATGTGTTGCAAATTACAGTACAATATAATGATGAACTCTAGGAAAATACACACACACACACATACCTGTCTAACGTGTGCTCTAGTGCTCTCTTCCTGTTGAGGCTATACACAGATGGAAACTGCAAATAAAAATTCAAAACATTACAAAAATATATACTTGAATATGTATAAAATGTTAGTTGCTTCAGGTCCTTATGATACATAAAATAAAATAAAAAATAAATTATTCTCAATATTTTCACTATTACAAGTAGTGTAATGTCACTTACCCCCTCCATAGCAATAAAATTAGAGGCATCATGGAAAAGGTGGATGTTTACCAGGTCGAATTTTGTACCATTTAGACACCACCGTGTTCGCATAAAACCTTTGCGAGACCATTTACACTGTTGAGTGAGAATATAAAAAAAAAAGTTTAGAAATAAATTTCTTACAACAATTTCATTATGTACTCAACTACATATTATGAAGTTTTAAAATTTTTAAAGGAGATCCTCTAAGCGACCTACACTATAAGCGTGTAAGGAGTTAAGATTCATGTACTAAATTTATGCAGTGTATCTTATCACTCCAAATTTCTCAGGTGTTGAACTACAGACTAACAGATCTACATTTTATGCAGTTGTATGTAGCCAAGCTTAGTTTTCTCACAGAAGCCAGATTAAAATAAAATGTTTAAGAACTTGGTGGAAATAATACTTAAAAAGTCTGATGGGCAGAAGTGACAGCAGTGATGCAAATGTAAACATAACTAAATATACCAGTGTAAAATGTAAAATAGCTGCACACATTTATGAGATAAATGCAGAATTTAATAAATGTTGTGGAGAAAAAGGATTGGAGTAGATGAGAATTTACCAGAAAGTATGGAAGAGAGGTAGTGCCAGAGGACCGAATATTTTTTTTTTTACAGAGTGTAGACTACTATAGTGTACTGGAAAGTATATGGCAGGTTAGCATTAGAAGAATGCAGGAAAGACTGAAAAATGTGGCTAGTCATGAGTAAGACGAGTTTCATGGTAGAAGTATGTGAACACATCAGATATCTGCATTAGGACAACTTGTGGAAATAGCATGCAAAAAAAAGCATAGTGCTCGTAACCTTTTTAGACACTAAGAAAAGCATACAAACACACTTAACAGTCCTCTAGAGAGTGAAAAATATGCACAGAGTTGGTCAAACTCTGTTAAATACTATGAATAGTTATATATACAGGACAAAATCTGATGGACCAGATTTTGGTAGTTAATGTGGAAGGAAATTATGACACTAGATGGCAAAAATCATAGAACCATAAAGCCTACACAATACAAAATACTATTTACAACTTACATAAAGCTTGGGATTTGATCAATGTATATTACAAATGTCCTGGAATACTGTAGCTGATTAAGGCTCAAAGTGTAATGATGGTGATGACAATGATTGTGAGGATTCTGATGTTCAAATGCATTTGTAGTTTATTGAGGTTAGAGAAGATACATTATTGGAGAATGATGTGGCATGGGTTCCTTACATATATGATCCTGGCTATAGATATGCCTACAGAAGATATGGCTGGGAGTGGTGATAGTGTGCAGGATGAAACATGTGTAATGAAGATTACAAATAATGTTTGACTTATGCTGATTATCAGTTGAATGAAGCCTGCAAGACAGATAATGACGACATTGCTGGTCTATACCCAAACTTCAGAGTTGCAAAGGAGCTTTACCTGTTGAGGTATGGTGTAAGAGCAGTCAACCTTTGAAGGTCCCTCGAGCAGTTTTTTTTTTATTTTTTTTTTTTTTTATTTTTTTCAACCACAGACGTGGCCAGTGCTAGTGTTATGTCAAGAGCATCTGCCAGTCAACTTGATAATGCAAGTTGCTATCATTTATGTTAAATTGAAGCATGTTTAAAATTAGGGGTGTTGAATTATGACTTCTGACCAGCTCCTTAGTCACTCTCCTAGCCAGGACCTGTGAATGTTCAGATCCTTACATTCCCATAAGGCTGACAACCTGTGCCCCATGGAAACAAGAAACTTTGCAAAGTCTTGTCAACTCAGTTGGAGAGGGGAGACGAGGAAGATAAAGTTCAATGAACAGTACCAACGTGGGGTTACCCACTATAGTATCAGAGAGCATAAACAAAACTTGCAACTTCTTCCAAGAATTAACTGGGAAACACAAAGAATGACAGTTAAGACTGCTAAAAAATGTTACTTTACTGCCTACAGTGACCACTATTAAATAACAGGACTACAATGACTATTGGGTCAGGAAAGTCAGCTCCCTTCATTGGAAGTCCAAACCACCCTCATAGACACAGTAAGTTGGGACTGGAAGAGTAGAAAAGGCAGTGTCCCAGGATTTGCTCATAGAACGTGTTTAAAAAATTTGACACCCTTTTTCTGAGAAAGGTCCCCCCTCGGTCGCTCAACTAGCCAACTCGCCAAAAAGACCCACCCAGAACGGAAATGCCTCCAGATAAGAAATTAATAGGGGACTTACCGGGACCAAGGTTGCAGCCATACAAGACTGTCAAAGGAGGGAGTAACTTGCCAAAAGAACATGGGAAGCCCCTCCAGCGGATTAGGAGCATACTGGAAAGGAGGCTGACAATCTTACTTGAAGGGGGATCAGGAATCACCTGAAAGAAATAAGTATGAACACCAGAAAATAAGAGGAAAAGCCACCAGAGAAAACCAGAACATTGGTTTCAAGGAAGGAATACCCCCAAAAAAACCTTCCCTGAAGGCTCTTTAACCCAAGATCAGATTGGAAAAAGTAATAGGCAGAAGGAAAGCCCAAACCCATCCAGTTCAAATTCATGTGGAAGGAGCCCAATGAACTCCCTAGGAAAACATCCCAGAGCTCTCCTAACACAAACCTAGTTTCATGAAAAGCTACACTCACTGTCACAACATAGCCCTAAGGCAACTACAAATGCACCACAAAATGAAACACCAATAGGACCCCACCCAAAATGGACCCAACAGGCCACCACCACCCAGAACAGAAGGCCCATCTCCCCCACCCCCCAGAATAGAGAAATCTGGATGACCAGAAGCATGCTGGGATGTGGAACCTACAGGCATTCTGCAAACCAAAGGTGTCCTCAAGACTGTAAGGCTGAGGTGAACCAGAATCCAATCACCAGTTGAAGGAGAAAAAGAAGGGGAAAAAAATCACCCAAGAACAACCAACAGGAAACCAGACATCAACCTCAAATAATGTGGGAGAACTAAGAACCATAAGCACAGGACTAACCAAAGAATGGCCAAATGAGCAAAAAAGAACACCCCTACCGGATTAGATGCCATGGGCTAAAGAACCACGGTGCAATCCCACCCCACCCTCCAAAAAATGGGGAAAGGATATCCACACCCAAAAGCAAGACTAAACTCCAAGTCAAAATATGAGGGCAAGATAAGCAAACAGCTGAGCACACACCCCTGCTAAGCAATGACAAGGCAAACCAGAAAACAGCTTGTGACACCTGGCAGCCCCAAACCAAAAAGGGATGGGGGGGATAGAAGAGGATCAGCAACAAAGACTTTCAAATCACCAAAAGGAGTCAGAAAGACGAGCACAATGGCAAAGCCAAGACACAGCCAAACATTACACAAAAGGCATGCCTAACTGTCAGGGTAAGAAAGCCAACCACCACACCAAACAAAAGGCTAATAGCTATGGAACACCTAACCATAAAAGGCAATCATCTCTCTTTGAAAAAAGATAAACAGTTCAAGCCAAGCTAACAGCGGCCTGACAGCTGAGTGGACAACACTCGGGATTCATAGTCCTAAGGTTCCAGGTTCATTCCCTGGTGGAGTTGGAAACAAATGGGCAGTTTCTCTTTCACCCTGATGTCCCTGCTCACCTAGCAGTAAATAGGTACCTGGGAGTTAGACAGCAGCTATGAGCTGCTTCTTGGGAATGTGTAACAAAAAGGAGGCCTGGTCGAGGATCGGGCCGCGGGGACACCAAGTCCCGAAATCATCTCAAGATAACCAGCATCTGGATAGGAACAGTCAATTCTCAAGGACAGGGGGTACACATCCTGCAGTGGAATGCACCTCAAAATGGTTGATAATGATAGCAGTGCTATTTAAAAGGAATGCAGATGAAGTGGAAGCAACCCAGTGTGAATGCATGCACAGCCCAAACAGCACTGGCATCAACAGAGAGAAGGCCAATATACGACTATCAACATGAAAATCTGTGATAAAATAGATGCTACCCTTGGAGAAAACTCTGGGGGTAGGAAATGTCTGGGACACCAGAAATGTGGAGCAGAAAAATGAATATTCCATCACAGGGGAAAGAATATGCCATAACAAATGACAAAGTGAAGGTGCCCAACATAACCACCAGCGAGTCCTGCAACATGAAACACTGCAGGACTCTGAACCCATGTACTGATGTAGGGAAGCTCTATGATCACTCCCCCTAGGAACAGAGGCCCCTGGAAATGAACCCCACCAGGAGCCAGCAAGGACTCCCTAAGCATGAACTTAGAAAAACTGGGGAATACCCATAGGAAACAATGGCAAAATCCCAAAGAACTTGGAAATGTGCCAGGAATCAGCTGGAGAAGGAATATTATCCAGGTGGCCATTGACACATGAGAGAAACAAGAATGGAAAATGCATATTGCTCCTAATAAAAAGGGGAAAATCATTTTCCCCAGAAAGACCAGACGTTCCCAGGAGATATGGAGTCCACACTGGGCTCTATATCTCCTGGGAGCTAGGGCACCAACCTCAGGTACTAGGAGCATACACAAGGCATGCAACCATTCCAGACACACATGCACCCAGAACCCTGGGAAAGTAATCCCGAGTGATTCCACTCAGAATTCCTGAACTACAATTTATGAGCAGCTGTAGAGAACACTTGAAGAAAGTCTCAATGAGCTCAAAGGAGCACTCACAAGAACTGCAGATGACCGGGACTGGGACACCAAGATCCATAAATGCCGAGAGAACGTGGGGGCACTTCCATAAAGTTCATGTCAAATTAGATAGAAAGTGCCCCAAAGAAAAAGGATGGCCAATTCTAGCATTAAAATGAGACCACATACAAAGCAAAGAATGATAAACAAGAGGAGGAGGGGGCAGAAGATTCTAAACATCAGGGCTATGGCATCCCACAGAAATGAACCATTGGTCCACCCCAAGCATAAAAATGTTGCAGCAAAGGCTCCAGATCATGTAGAATGTTCCTAGTTATGCTTCATGTGTTACAGTCTTTGCGACACCAACCTCCAAAGTTGACCTCTGTTGCCAAGTGCATGGTGGGGACTCTACCAGGAAAAGAGGATGTGAAGCCAAAGCCTGAAACATATCAAACAAACCACAATAAATGCCTGAAACAGGATAGCAAGCTTTACACAGAT